TGGTATTGGGAGGGTTTACTGTATAAGACTTGATGTGTCCGTTATCCCCAGAGGGAGGCTCCGTCGTGACAGCTAAGAGGAGAGTTAACACACGAAACAATTTCATTTTATTGATTCAAAGGTTCATTTTATGGATCACCAGTAGACATCTCCTTTTCTCCTCCTCTTCCTTCACTTTCTCCTCTTCCTCCTCTTCTTTTTCCTATTTTTCTTCCTTCTTCCTTTTTCTTCCTCCTCCTCCGCCTCCTCCTATTCCTCTTCTTCCTCCCCCTCCCTCTCCTCCTCCCCAACGTCACAATTAACAACCATTCTCTCTACCATCTCATTCGTTCCTTCTTCTTATTTAATCATTATCTCCTGTCATACCCTACATCTCCCTTCCTCTTCTCCACATTACTCTCATAAGCTTATACCTGTGACTACCTGTACGATCATATTAATTTTAAAGAGTCTATGCTTACCTGTAATTAAGCTCACCTGTAATTACCTGTACTATCATATGAATTTAAAAGATTCTAAGCTGGTGATGGGAAGGTTAGTGTTGGGGGTGGGAAGGTTAGTGTTGGGGGGTGGGAAGGTTAGTGTTGGGGTAGGTTAATGGTTGGGGGTGGGAAGGTTAGTGTTGGGGTGGGAAGGTTTGTTGGGGGTGGGAAGGTTAGTGTTGGGGTGGGAAGGTTAGTGTTGTGTTGGGGGTGGGAAGGTTAGTGTTGGGGGTGGGTGGGAAGGTTAGTGTTGGGGGTGGGAAGGTTAGTGTTGGGGGTGGGAAGGTTAGTGTTGGGGTGGGAAGGTTAGTGTTGGGGTGGGAAGGTTAGTGTTGGGGTGGGAAGGTTAGGTTTGGGGGTGTGGAAGGTTAGTGGAAGGAGTGTTGGGGGTGGAAGGTTAGGTTAGTGTTGGGGGTGGGAAGGTTAGTGTTGGGTGGGAAGGTTAAGGTTAGTGGGAGGGGGTGTGGGAAGGTTAGTGTTGGGGGTGGGAAGGTTAGTGTTGGGGGTGGGAAGGGTGTTGGGGGGGAAGGTTAGGTTAGTGTGGGGTGGAAGGAGGTTAGTGTTTGGGTTAGGTGGGAAGGTTAGTGTTGGGGTGTGGGAAGGTTAGTGGTTATTAAGGAAGGTTAGTGTTGGGGGTGGGAAGGTTAGTGCTGGGGGTGGGAAGGTTAGTGTTGGTAGGAAGGTTAGTGTTGGGGTGGGAAGGTTAGTGTTGGGGTGTGGGAAGGTTAGTGTTGGGGGTGGGAAGGTTAGTGTTGGGGGTGGGAAGGTTAGTGTTGGTGATGGGAAGGTTAATGTTGGGGGTGTTAGTGTCTTATTGTTTTTGACGGAACGATGCATACACACACACGCACACACACATGCATGCTTGACTCCATTCACGAACACTCACGCACACACACGCGTACACACATGCACGCACGCCTGCCTCTATTCATGTGTGACTCTATTCACGCACACACACACACACACACACACACACACACACACACACGTGCACGCAGACACATGCACGCAGACACATGCACGCCTGCCTCTATTCACGAATACACACACACACACACACACACACACAGAGTCAGTTATATGTAAAGACATGTATAAATATCTCCACAAATGAAGGCAGAGACGCCAGACACGTTCACACTCCTCAACAACAACAGGTAATATTTTGGTGTCACTCTTTCAAGAGAATGAAGTGTGTTTTTTCTGTCAATTCTGAAGCCCAATAGATGACTAGTATGCTCAGGTTTTTATCAGTGTGAGGCTAATGTGATGACAAGACCGTATGACTGAGCGGATGGTCGGGGTGGGTTGGGTTCTAGTCAGCCTGGCCCAAACCAAACTTCCCGTGGCCTACACACACACACACACACACACTAAAGTAGAAAGTCTTCCTTCCCGTTACAAGTTTTCAGTTTATAATCATTTTATCTCACCAAAAAGAAATTTAAAAACAAAATGAAATAAGAAAAAATATCGTAACGGTTGGCTCAGATTTAACAGCTCATGTGGTCAGTGTTTATCATCTCGCTCTTACAACTATTTATGTTTTATCTTTTATTTTCCACCTTGTAAAAGTCACTCATTCCTCGTGACAATCTTCCCTGAGAAAAGACGAAGTATCATCTTGACACACACTTAACCACACATTCAACCACACACTCAACCACACACTCGACCACAAACTTGACCACACACTCAACTACACACTCAACTACACACTTAACCAGAACTCAACCACACACTCAACCCCACACACTCGACCACACATTCAACCACAAACTTGACCACACACTCGACCACACATTCAACCACACACTTAACCACACATTCAACCACACACTCGACCACACACTCAACCACACACTCAACCACACACTCAACCACACACTCTCTTTTTAGTACTCAGCCTCCTGTTTGTACTCTGTCTACGCCACTATGAGTACATTTTGAGTTCCTGTAAGACTCATCGCTAACCAAAGTGTCCGAGACACAGCACATCACAGTAGCCGAGACACAGCACATCACAGTAGCCTTGATACAGCACATCACAGTAGCTGAGACAGCACACACAGCAGCCAAGACACAGCACATCACAGTAGCCGAGACACAGCACATCATAGCAGCCTTGACACAGCACACAGCAGCCTTGACTGACACATCACAGTAAGCCAAAACACAGCAGCACATCACAGTAGCCAAGACACAGCACATAACGGCAACCGAGACACAGCACATCACAGTAGCCAAGACACAGCACATCGCAGCATCCAAAGACACAGCACATCACGTGGCCGAGGACACAGCACATCGTGGCAGCCTTGACACAGCACACAGCAGCCTTGACACAGCACATCACAGTAGCCAAAAACACAGCACATCACAGTAGCCAAGACACAGCACATAACGGCAACCGAGGACACAGCACATCACAGTGGCCAAGACACAGCACATCACCAGCATCCAAGACACAGCACATCACAGTGGCCGAGACACAGCACATCATGACAGCCTTGACACAGCACACACAGCAGCCTTGACACAGCACATCACACACAGCAGCAAGACACAGCACATCACAGTAGCCGAGACACAGCACATCACAGTAGCCAAGACACAGCACATCACAGTAGCTGAGACAACACATCACAGTAGCCGAGACATAGCACATCACAGCAGCCGAAACACAGCACATCACAGTAGCCGAAACACAGCACATCACAGCAGCAGCGTTACTCTCACCTATAGGATCGGTGGTCACCTGAACCAATTGTCAGAGTATGGTTAATATTGACCGTCTCTAGAGTCCAAGACGGCAGGGCGTGAGGCTGTGTCCGTAGGCGTCCAGGGGAGGAGTGGATGGAGGGAGGTAGGGAGATACGAGAGGGAGGGGGGGGGAGGGAAAGAGGGAGAGAAATAGAGAGAGAAGGAAAAAGTGAGGGACGGAAATAGAGAGGGGAGGAGTGAGGAGACAGATTTAGGAAGGGAGGGGAAGAGAGAAGTATGGAGATAGGGAAGAAAGGAGTAAGGGAGATAGAGAGGGTGGGAGTGAGAAGAGAGACCGAGAGTGGGAGGAGAGAAGAGAAGAGAGAAAGGGGTGGAGTCACGTTGGTGGTGGGAAGAGGTGACGTCGGTATGAAGAGAATCCCTAGTGGTGATATGCTCACACGCAAACTCACGCACATACACACACACACACACACACACACACACACACGATTGATTCCTGATTTCATGGTAGTGATTTTACTATGTTCAGTCGCTTACACTTACACCTGGTACAGTGGCTAATGCGTTTTGTGAGATGTGGCAAATGTATGTTTGTTTACATTGTATTAAAACTCCAATAATGGCCCATAGGAACCTTACAATACTAGCCAGTCTAAAGATGATAGATAAACAAACACAATGGTGCCACATCTCACAAAATGCACCAGACACTGTACCAGGTATAACTGTTGGCGACTGTACCTTCAGGAGGGTGATGGAGGTTACCCACCCACCCGGCGGCGCCCGAGTGCTTCCTGTGGGGTGACGGGGTAGGTGATGCCTCGCCGGGGGTCATCATCATCATCTGGTAAAAAGATTAGTCATTCAGTCAGTCAGTCAGTCCGGGCCGTGGAGAAAACTATCTCACAGTTTCTGGGTGTCCAGCTGCCTCCACCCACCCACCCACCCACCCACCCACCCACCCACCCACCCACCTACCAGCCAGCCAGCCAGCCTCACTATGTTTCCAGGTAACCTCTCCACTTAAATAGTGTTAGGATGGTATAATTACATCTGTAGGTGACATAAACTAGGATGGAGATTCTTCAGGTGATCCCAAAACCACCAAATTATAGTCACTAACTCACGCCTCAGCGGGAATTATTTTTCTTGACATCTCGGTTGAGTTATTGGTGTCATCAGGTGTGTGTGTGTGTGTGTGTGTGTGCCAGTCGCTTTGTTCAGTGAACAGAGAAGATAACTGCCATGGAATCCACTCCTCACTACTATACAGTAGATAACAGTAAACATAACAAAGAAGTGAGGGCTAACACACACACACACACACACACACACACGGGACTATTGTAAACCAAGTATGATGTAAACTGTTAATTTTATACGCGACCTTCGTGGTTTACATACACCCTCATGTACGTGTTAATTTGTCAGGATGTCGTGTCCGTGTTAAACATCTGTCTGTCAGCTCCTGTAAGGAAGGGGATGGAGGGGGTTAGGGGAAAGGAGGTGACGGGGTGAAGGGAAGGGGGATGGGGGGTGTTATGTAGGTGTTAGGGGAGGAGGTGACAGGGGTGTGGGGAAGGGGATGGAGGGTGCTATGGAGGTGGTTAGGGGAGGAGGTGACAGGGGGTGTGGGGGATGGGGGATGGAGGGTGCTATGGAGGTGGTTTGAAGGGGGGAGGGGAGGAGAGGTGAAGACGACAGGGGTGTGCCTCCAGGCCCCACATGTGCGGTGAAGCTTGGCGTACAAGTTGGGTGGTGGGAGTGAGGGAGCCATCCGTCGCCACAGTCAGAGCCAACCAGTCCGACTCCAGACTCCTCGCCGTCAACACGTCTCCACCTAGCGACCCACCTCAGTCAGCCGCTGGTACCCGGGACTTACAGCAGCAACACCACTACCAGTCCTCACCTACACTAGTGTTGGAGTGTACTAGTGGATCACAAGTCAACGGTGGAGGAACTCAAATGATTTACCAGTGATATAAAGAAGATATTTTAGTGTCATATTATCAAACTTCACAGCAGCAGTTAACATGCATACCAAACTAACATCAAAGGTAAGTTAACAGACTACATTTAACCCAGACTTTTGAGTATTTTTGGGTAAATATGTTAGATTTATTTATATAAGTGATAATCATTTTAACAGGATTTATAGAACCACGACAGTGATAAAATTAGACTTCGTAGTGATGAGGTGACCATTTGCTTATACCTGGAGGAAGATTTAGTACAGACGCAGGTGAACACAGGTGAGGGCCAGTACCTTCCTTTACCTGTAAGTATGTGATTCTTAACCCTTTGAGAACTATGGTTTAACCCTTTGACGACGATGGTTTAACTCTTTGAGGACGATGGTTTAACTCTTTGAAGGCGAGAATTTAACTCTTTGAAGACGAGGATTTAACCCCTTGAGGACGATAGTTTAACCCTTTCAGGACGAGGGTTTAACCCTTGGAGGACGATAGTTTAACCCTTTGAGAAATATGGTTTAACCCTTTGAGGACGATGGTTTTACCCTTGGAGGACGATGGCTTAACCCTTTGAGAACTATGGTTTAACCCTTTGAGGCTTATGTTTTAAACCTTTTTGGGCGATGGCTTAGCCCATTGAGAACTGTATTCTAACACTTTGATGATGACGATTTAAACCCTCTCATGACGTTGATTTAAACCTTTGTTGACGATGATTTAACCTAACCATACGTCCTGTCTTAAAAGGTGACGCTTCTCTCTCTGCCAATATAACACTTAACACAAATAAATAAATACCCATTATTTGCATTTAACTTTATTATATTTATTTACCTGTGAAGATATCCCTTACCTGAGGTGTGAAATTAACCGCCGAATATTTTCCCTATTGACGTTAGTGACAGACAGACATTTAGGTTAGGTTTTTTTCTGTGTTGTATCGTAAGAGTCAGGCGGTGTAAGGCTCCCTCCTCCTCCCCCTCACCCCTCTCTCCCTCCCCGCACGACGGTCACAGGCACACAACTCACACACACACACACACACAACGTCTCAGATATATACTTTTATTACGACTTTAAACAAAAAATCTCTTAAATGTGAAAACTGTAAAGAAAATTAAAAAAAAAATTGTAAAACAGTTCTTTGGGGCAAACATCATAAACACTGTAAGAACTAACTCCCGGTGGTCAAATATTTATTTGTTGTTTACAAGATTATTAACTAAGTTGAAACGTAAACAAACAAAAGATTAAAATAACAATACTTATATATTATGATAATTTACGATATTAATTTTAACAGAATTTCAATATATTTTATGAACGAAATGACAATACTATATGGAATTAGAAATCAATAAATTTTAAGTTTATTAATATAGTGACCTGTATGTGAATAAATTAAACAGTTTTATTTAATACATGAACAGGACTGACACACGTACAGTACAAAGGTTCTTAATCAGTTATATATGGAGATATTTCCTTATAATAGATGTAGTCGTTACGTCAACAATTAAAGGGCACAAAAGTGAACTAGTCCCCATTTGCCTGTTCAATTCGTACCCAAATGTTCAATCAATACACGGGGAGTCCGGTAAAATGTTCAATCAATACACGGGGAGTCCGGTAAAATGTTCAATCAATACACGGGGAGTCCGGTAAAATGTTCAATCAATACCCAGGGAGTCCGGTAAAATGTTCAATCAATACACGGGGAGTCCGGTAAAATGTTCAATCAATACACAGGGAGTCCGGTAAAATGTTCAATCAATACCCAGGGAGTCCGGTAAAATGTTCAATCAATACACGGGGTCGGTAAAATGTTCAATCCGGTAAATAATCAATACAGGGAGTCGGTAAAATGTTCAATCAATACACGGGGAGTCCGGTAAATGTTCAATCAATACCCAGGAGTCCGGTAGTTCAATCAATACACGGGGAGTCCGGTAAAATGTTCAATCAATACACAGGGAGTCCGGTAAAATGTCAAATCAATACACAGGGAGTCCGGTAAAATGTTCAATCAATACACAGGGAGTCCGGTAAAACGTCAAATCAATACACGGGGAGTCCGGTAAAATGTTCAATCAATACACGGGGAGTCCGGTAAAATGTTCAATCAATACACGGGGAGTCCGGTAAACTGGTCAGTCAACGTGCATTAGTCACTTTATAAAAACAACATTAAAAATCACCCTTCCTCCCATCTTCAGTCTCTACTTAAATGTAAACAATAATATCATACAAAAACTGTCTTAGTGTCAATTGAGTGAGTTAGCTTATGAAAGTGGTATAATATTTGATGGCGCTCCTCTGTACTTTTTACCGATGACGCGGCTGTTAGTGCAAACACCTGAGTTACAGCCGAGGTCACAGGTCAAAGAGGTGCACAGCAGCGATCTACCTGTTAAACTGTCATGATTATTACTACAACAGCCTGCGTCATTTTTCGGTTACCACACCAGCGAAGAATTTAATTTAACCTTTGCCTTAACATTAACCTAACCTAACCTAATCCCTGGGAGAAGCATAAGTCGTATAGTGTGTGTCTGTGTTTGTCTACCCAGCAGTAATTGAGGATCTGGATGTTAATCGATTTGCGGATCGTGTTCCGGGGTAATGGTTAGCCAGTGCAGTTGGCGAGTTGTCCGGTCCTCTCGGACTATTCCTTGACATTGGGTAATGCAGCTCGTTAACTTAGGGTGTGGTTGTTGTGTTGGCGACAGCTTCTACACCTTAAACAAATTCACGCCTAGGTGGCGCTTGGGTCGGCCATCCTTGTTACAGACGAGGGGCAACCATTATGTGTGTGTGGATAGTTCTCTTCATGTGGTGGCAGGTCCAGGAGTGAGTCTTGTAGTAGTAGCAGCAGAAGGATAACAGCGAGGAGGTGGTGCAGGGGGACGGTGGTGTTACGGTTGTGGGCAGAAGGTCTTCCTCTCAACGCCAGCTGTCGCCTCCCATTACTTCCAGTCCTCAGCCTTGTGTCGTGTTTACTGTCCTCCTTCTCCTCTTCTTCCTCTACCTCCTATTCCTCCTTCTCGTCCTTTTCCTCCTCCTTTTTCTCCTACTTCTACTCCTCCTCCTCCTTTTTCTCCTACTTCTACTCCTTTCTCCTCCTATTCCTTCTTCTCTTCCTCCTTATGTTTCTTCTCCTCCTCCCCCTTCCTTCTCCTCCTATTCTTCCTTCTCGTTGTCTTCGTGTCGTTTTATTTCGAACATTAGTAAAATGCTCTAAACATAACTTGAGGACTTTTTCATCATTTTAATCTCACGTGAGAAATTCGTATATTAGTATAGTTAAAAAATAGAAACAAATGAGTCACTGTGGAAGTAAAAGTTGGTAATTCAAGTCAAGACAAACATTTACTTAACTCCGCCATGTGTTATACTCCGGGAGAAACAGTCGTGATAATTTAAATACGTTTTTAGTCTAAACAAAACAAAACACTAACCTAACCTAAACAAAACATTAACCTAACCTAACCTTCTATTATAATTAACTCGGAAAAATATACCCAAATGGTGCCCGTAATTTCCTATGACAAAACAAAATTAAATAAGGCTTTTATTTACAACGTCTTTGTGAATAGTTTGTTAATCCTGTGTGTGTGGGGGTAAAAACCTGCATCACCTCCCGTTAATGCAGGAAAGACACAATCGGGGCAGCCTGGGGGTGGGTAGAGCTGGAAGTTCTCTCTGGTAACGTTACTGGTCACCTCGGGCACCAGATGGCAGTGGTATCGCTCGCGGGATGATGATGATGATGATGACGGTTGTGGTGATGTTGGTGGCGTGGTGGTGACGTGGTGGTGACTTCAGCTGAGACTTAAGAAACATTAAGGACTCTCAGTTTCAGCAAACGTCCGCAAGTATTTAACGAGAAGATAATTAAAACTGATCTCACGGTTCTCTGACAGTAGAAGTATAGTGAAACCTCTATATAATGGACTAATCTCTTACATGTAATCCATTGGGGAGGTTTCGTATACGACTGACTTTGATTTAACGGACTAACCTGTAACATTATACAGTAGTCCGTTAAATAGAGGTCTCACGGACAAAAATAAGAAATGGAAGTAACATACATACAAAAGATGATTTGAGGAGAAGAGAGTAAACAAACATTATCACAAACAGATACGTGAACGGATACAGACAGACAGACAGACAGACACGTGTACACCCACCCAAAAACAGATACACACACACACACACGGTCAAGATGTGGTCTAATGATGGACTATAACTACCATAGCGGTGTTTCTTTTACGCTGAAATTGGAAACGATTATGAGGAGTGAGGCAGCAGGACCCATCACTCTGATCTGACGAAGTTGTTGTGGCCACCGACGATGACCATGGTGTATTAGTTACTCCCTCAAGTGTTGCCTCGTGCCGCTATATATATACCTCCTCCTGCGCCTCATCTCTCTTGTTTACTGTACTCCCCATCACAGCGAATCATCACCACATCAGTCTTGTGTCTTATCTCTTGTTCTTAACGCCTGAGTTCCTGACGAGTGAAGGAGATGTATTTATTTCCTACGGCCATTGGAGTTATTACAGCGGATATGAGCGATCGAGGCAGGTGGTGGCAGGCAGGCCCACAAACCTTATAAACAGTTAGGTGTTATCATCATCTTCTCTGGTGCTCGATAAATCCATCACTACAACTAATACCTCAGTCACTTCCTTTACCGGTAGTGAGACGAGCAATTATAACTCCCACAAGACCGCTTCCGTACCATAAACCATCTGTAGGTACTAACGTTATCTTCCAGCTTCTTCTGTGACTCAACTATGAATATTAATCAAACTTTCTAAAGGAGATTGACTCATAGCATTTAGTTCTTGTGGCGCCTTAGATCCCATACAGGATGGTAGCCAACGTTCACATCTGGCCAGAGACACTTCACACACACATATACAGTTATCGAGGCCCACTATACACACACACACACACCACACATACAGTTATCGAGGGTCACCATACAGTGATCGAGGCTCACCATACAGTTACCGATGACCAAAGTATTAACCCTCGACTCTGCTCCCACCAACACTACCACAGTCCCGTTC